ATTGCTTACAATCTGGTTCAACATGATAGGACAAAGCATGTTGAGATTAATCGTCACTTAATTAAGGAGAACTAGTGGCACAATATATATTCCATTTGTGCAGTCTGGTGAACAACTCGCTGACATCCTCACTAAGGGAGTTGGGAGTAAGCCATTGCATGACATCCTAAGCAAATTAGGCATGAGAAATATCTTCGCACTAGCTTGAGGGGGAGTGTTAGTATAGTATATTATTAGTTGGGTTATTATTCGATTGTAATTATTCTATACCTTGGCTCTCTTGTAATTATTAATCTCCATTAATATAAAAAGGGGATGATATCACAATCATACCCTAGTTCTTTTTCTCTTCTCTAAACCTACACATGGGTCATGTGGTAAACATTTTATATATATATATATAAATTTATTATTATTATTATTTTTAATTGGTTGTGTTGATTGTTGGGTGGGGCTTGGCTAGGGCGATTTGCAGTTGGGGTTGGCGATTTGCAGTTGGGGTTGGCTATTTGGCAACAGGCTGGGGTTACACTTGGGTTGGCTAGGATAAAGTGTGAGGTGGCGTAGCCTAGTTTTGTGGGAAGGTTTGGAAGGTTGTTGCTATTGTTGGGCAGGGGGTATTTATTTATTTATTTTTTTGGTTGGGAAATTACAAAAAAAAAAAAAAAAGAAGAAGAAAAAACCTAGGGTTTGACCCATATAACAAACCAAACCTCGAGTTTTTAATTGTTTCAATTTAAACCCTCAACTTCCAAATTGGTTACAATTTATACCATCCGTCATCTCCATTAAAAACAATAACAAAGAGGGATAAATCTGTAAATTTCCGCCATATACATATTATATATATATATGCATGAATAGAAAGGTAATTATGAGATTTTCGAATTAATTATTTTCTTTTTTTCATTATCGAGTCTCATCCTTTTCGTCACGTTGTTGAACAGTTACAAATTTCAAATTCTCCAACCATAAGAGTGATCAGAGGTTTATGAAAGAATAACAATTTGAAACTCCAAAGATGGATCATCTACCAAGCTAATTGCATATCCTACCTAGTTAATCTCAGAGATCACTCCGAGAGGCCTCTTTACAATTGGATCCCCTCTCTCTATGCATTACATATAATAATAAACTTACACATATACAATATAAATCTTCCTCTTCTTCTTCTTCGACTTCATTTTCACCGCCACCGCCACCGCCACCGCCACCGCCACCCACAAATCCGCCACCACTTTCCCATCACCACATCGGCACATTCAAGTCCATCCCTATCCTTCCTCGTCCTTTCCCCCACCCATTGCCAACACCATCCCTCCCATAACCAGAAAAATAAATAAATCACCAGACGCACAACACAAATCAGATGACAACAGTGGTGGAACTTAGTTCACAGGTTAGGGAGCTTGTTGGTGAGAACCCAGATTTGCCAAAGATAGCAGTGCAACAACCGCAACCCATAAAGCCTAGAAACATTGTCATGTGGACTCAAATCAACAGCTTCAGATCTCTCTCTTTTTCTCTCTTCGGAATCGATCTAAAAATGTGAATGTTCTCTCTATAACCAATCAGAGAAGCATAAAGGGTTAGGGCAGTGGAGGCAAGAGGAAAAGGAGGATGTGGAGAAAGAAGAGGCAACCGCTCGCTTGTAGGAGGTAGGGGCGAAAGAGCGTGATAGGGTTGATCCAATTGTTAGGCTCATATTATGCTTGTAATGGATGGTTCTCATATAGGAAAGGGTCAATACTTGGTGATCTTAATATGGGGTGGTCAAGTTTAAAACTGTGACGAAGATTAAGCTGAAAAACAAATGAGTAAGTGCCACATGTATTGTAAAAAACATTTTTTGTTAAACAACTTAATGGAGTGGATAGAGAGTTGAAATTGTTATAAAATTGAAACGTTAGGGTTCAAATTAAAACAATCAAAAACTAAGGGCTTGATTTGTCAGATAAGTCAAAACTTGGTTTTATTTATTTATTTATTTTAATGAAACTAGATGTTGGGCTAGGCTGAGATTGGGTTCATGATTTATGAGAATGGGTCAGGTTGGGCTATAGTTGCTAAAGGGTTGGTTTTAAGTGGTTTTAAGTGATAGGGATTGTGGCCTGTTACGTGGGTTTATTCAGCTGGGTCCTAGATTAAATAATAGGGTCGAATGTGGATTGGGTCACAAGCTAGGTAGGGTGAAGAGGTGATATGGAATACACTTACCACTGAGAGTTGTTTCCAACTCATCGAAGAACGTCGAAGCCTTAGGCTTTCAACAGTTGAGGGAGGGATGACAATGCTACTAAGGCCTAGTGGAGATGGTGACCAGTGATCGTTAGCGTTGACAACGAAGGTGTGGCGCTGCCGGAAAGGGAGTGCAACGGCACTAGCGAGAGGTTTTGAGAAGCTTCACAAGAACTGGCGATCAGAAGGAAGGCCGATCAGTTTTTCAAATGGCACGCCTAAGCACAGGAGGTGCACTTGAGGCGCCTTGGACAACTTGATGCGAGGCATTGTAGGAAAGGGGCATTTGAGGTGCCTGAGGCCCACACCACAAGCTCAACCGTAAGGCGAATGACTTATGTGCTTCATTTAAATTTTGGCTCTAGCCTTATGCTATGTGTTGTAGCTACAAGGAATCACGACCCCTTTCATATAAAATGCAAAACTTATGCTTTGAGCCCTAATGTTCATATCAATAAAAGCACTAGGCATTGACAAAACGTTTTCGGATTGCAAGGTGGATATATTATATTTGGGATTCCTTTCAATGTAGGGAATTATGATAATTTTGGGGCACTGATTGAAGCTGGTCCCGGTTTAAAACCACAAAGTTACCATATGGTGTGAGTTCCTTATCTTAAAAAAAAGGTGAATCATGTCAATAAATTGATGAAGGAACAAAAATAGTGTTGGGCAAAGTAAGGATGTTCTATAATGTGCGATGGGTGGACGGATAGAAGAAATATTGGTTTTTATTGGATTTGAATATGATGTTTTTTTTACTTTTGTTGGATGTTATGTTTGTGATTTTTAGAAGGTTGAATGTTGTTTTAAAGAATTTTTTGGAATGTTGAACGCTATTTTTATTGTTTTTGGAATGTTGAACGTTGTTATATGAGTTTTGAAATTCTAGAAATATTTGTTTATACTAAAAACTTTGCACATATTAAAATTTTGTTTATCTTCTACTACTTGAGTCTTGCTTTTGTGAGGCGTGCGACTCGCCTTGCGGCTCACGCTTAGTCTAAAATTTTGCTTATCTTTTACAACTTGTGCATTGCTTTGGTGAGGCGTGTGCCTCACCTTGCGGCTCACGCTTAGGCTCTAGGAGAAATAAGAGCCTCGATGCGCCTAGGGCTTTTTGAAACACGGAGGCTGATGATGTTTGCTGTTAGGGTTCCAACAATTTCTAGAGTTATGGTCTCAAATCTTGTTTTATGTTGTGGATGAGGGAGAGAGGGGAAGAGCGAACAGGAGATTGGAGCTTTTGCTCTAATACCAATTGATGTAATACGTAGTATGAGGGGGAGAAGGAGAGAGAAGAAGAGGGCCACAATCCTAACACAAACAATTGGCCACAACCTGAATCTCGATATCTCATTCAATGAAAGCTAACTATTATAATGGTGAGAACTAATATTATAGGGCTTAAAACCCTAATTCAATAGGAAATCAATTCCTAATAGAAAAATGAAGCAAATATTATTAGAACTCCTAACCAAATATAAAATTTAGGAATTGATTAAACTATATGTTTAAAACAAATATAAAATATAAAATAGTTTAAAACTAATATAAAATAGTAGAATAATAAATTATGAAGACATTCATGAAATCTCCATGTGCACACATTCCACGTCTCCTCTGTTTTCAAAAAAGCCTTTCCATCTCCCAAATTATTTTCTTCTTGTTTTTTGGCACCCATCTTATCCCATCCTCCCACACCACCATTATAAATATGCAACACCCATTCATTCAATCTCCAAATCCATAAAACAGTTCATATTTTCTGAACTTTTTAGTGTTACCAACTTGTCCATCTAAGTGCAACCGTGATTTCCAGTGTTAATGTTCACTTGTTCTTATTAGCAATAAAATTTCTCCAGTTGTTCTTCAGTTGAAAGTGTTCTTCATTTTTGTTTGTGTTACGTCTTGGGCTAGTGTTGTTTGAACACTGTCAAGAAATGACAATTTGGTGCCATCCAATTTTCATCTTTCTCTGTGGAGGTATTCCTCTTGTTGTTTGGTTAGATAATACTTAATTAAGGAGATGGGGGATTATATTTCTCTCCTCTTGTTTGGTTAAACAAGACTTATATAGGGAAGGGAGGTGTAAAAATTGAATATTTAACCTTTAACTATTAAAGTGGGGTATGCTAGGTTAATATATACTTTTATGACGAGCAGTTCACTTCACCACCGTTTCCTCCCAATGTTGGAGGAGAAGAGAAGTGCTGAAAAATGTTAGCCCTCTCTCCTTCACAACCCCTTCATACACTTCCTTCCCTCGCTTCAAATAATCCGCAGTGATAACTAGCTTTTCCCTGCCAAATCCTTCACTTCCCCTCCTAGTCCCTCAATCCAAATGGAGTGTACAAGCCTGTCCAAGCTGTATGACCAATCTCTAGTTTTATATATGTATATTTTGCAATGGCCATTTGATCTCTCAGTTTTTATTTATTTATTTATTTATTTTTTAATCAAAGATTGATATACCCTTTGAATTGTGTTACTTTTTGAAGATGTTTCAGTCAGCCTCTTTCTATAACTCCGTACCTGCTGAATTTTTCAAGCATTTTAAGCTCAGGGTTCTACATATATACATATATATATTTGACTGTCTGTCTTCGATTATATCATTTAAATGATCTAACAAGGCTTTTATACAGACGAGGAATCTATATTTTGATGCTGCTTAGCATTTCATTATCACTTCTACTTTTCTGTAGCTAAATTCATTCTGGTTTATTGGATTCTGCTTGATAAATGGCTTGTTTTTGTAGGGAAGAACATGAACTTTTAGAAGCTGTGCAAGCTAGACTGGCGGTTCATCCACTGACTGCGCCTATTCTTGGAAATGATCATAATGAGTTTCGCAGCCGTGAAAGTTCGGTAAGAGAAGTGGAAAATAATTTTGGTCTTACCACTAGAATATTTTCGGTTTGATGAATATAAAATCGAATGCTCATTGGGAAGCTAGGAAGCATTGACATAGACATAGGACATGGTGATTTCAAAAAAATTGGGGACAGAAACACTGCAAGGACACAACAGTAGAAAATATTTTCTTATATATTTTATTTGCTATGTAGACTAATACTACATCCACAAACAATCAAAATTAACAAAAATTAACACTAACTATAATAATAATAATAAAAAAAACCCCACTCTTAAGTTAATTATCATTTGTCTTTTTTCGAATGATCTATTAATTATTTAGATCTAAGAAACAATTAATAAACATTGAACATCCAACCGGGGGGGGGGGGGAAGAGGGGGGGGGGGGAATCTAGTTGGCGTGCTCCCAACATGTCCCGTGAAAAAATTAATTTGATTGCCACACGGCGTATCACATGTGTCCTTGTGTTTGACACCGCTATGGCACATGTTTTGCAGTGTCAGTGTTTCATAGGTGGGAAGTATATGGTCATTTTTTTCTTAATCTTATAGGAAACTTTGAAGCTTGCATTGAGAGCTTTATTAACAAGCCACGTATTCTTGTGGAAGAACAAATTCAAGGGGAAATTAGAAAGGCTAGCATGATTGACAAACACTAAAAATTGGGATGATTAGAAGATCTTGGAGTTGGACCCTGTGGCAATACCTACTAAACTAGAGAGTGGATGGAAAAACGATAATACATAAGGTCTATATTGTTTGAAATCCTGCTACAACATCTATTTTTTACCACATGGATAACAACCCATGCAAGAAGGGGGTGCCCACCTCCCTTGTGAGTGAGCAGTCATCCATGAGGTAAAAGAAGAGGTGTCTCTTTAATGTTTCGTCTGTGCATGCATTACGGCTGGATTCATATGGTCCACAATATGGGAGTAGTTGAATTTTATAATATAACAATAAGGTTGAATTATGGAGAGATAATAAAAAGATAGGAAAGAGAAAAGAAAGAACACAAAGGGTTAAAGTGGTTCAGTCAGTCTTGGCCTACGTGGTCCACTTATGGGCTACATCTTTCATTCATTCAACTTGATGCTTTTGTGTACATGATACACCATATATATAGGGTAAGAGATTGTCACAACCCCATCCCGGCCCAAATAGAATAGTGTAGTGATCGGTCAGTAGTAGTGGACTACCAAAGGCCTAACTTTCAAAACAAGTTGGACTTCTATGATAATTGGGGCAAATTTTGCATTTTCGATTGTGGAAGCCATTATTTTCTTATATTGAGTCCATTTAAAACATTCATTCAAAGCATTGCATAACTATATAGAATGAAAGTATACATTCCTCTTGGATTACTATCTTGCATTATTACATGATCTATACAACAAAAGTAAAATATAGCGCTTATGACAAGCTTTACAAAACCAGCACAAGCACAAGACCAACTTTAATCAACTTCTCTTCGTAATTGAGCTCTTCATCACCTACATATATATATATATATATAAGGGAGAGGGTGAGCCATTGCCCGGTGAATAGTAATATAGTAAAGTGGTAATGGATGAACACCGATTATTTTAACAAAACTAAGCACAAGGTTATAGTTTAAACATAGCATAATTTGATCGTGATAGAACAAGGTTTAACTTGCAAGCATATACATAGCAATGAACATTCCAAAGGCTTTGAGAACATCAAGACCCACACAACGGTGGCAAGAGGAGCTCAGTTAGCAAAAAGTTATTGGCATGATTTCCCAATAACAAAGACAAGATCTAAGGTGTCATCTTAATACATGATACAAGAATATAGGATGTTCATTTATGATAAAACAATAGCTTAACTTTCATAAACATAGCATATTAAACATAATTTTACTACACTACTACTCACAAGTGGCTCTTGAACAAGCGTTTTTCCTTCAAAGGTGCTTGACCTACACAAACAAGCATATAAAGATCGATAAAGCAAAATGCAAAACAAATTTGTCAACTGAACTTCAATTTTCTTTCTTAATTAGTCTTATTTTAAGTCTGTTTCTAAGCTTTAATCAATTCTATTTTAAGTCTCAAAAGAGTATAATGAGATCTGGTGCATCAAAACGCGCGAAACTAATGAAATCGGGTAAATGTGATGGCAAATCCGCTTGGGCGGATTTGTTAAGCTTGGAAAATCCGCTGATGCAAATTGAGGCAGTGACCACCATCGACAGTGTAATTTCAATCTGCTCATGCAGAATTTATGGCCACACGGGCAGTTTCAAGCAGGCAAAACGAATTAGTGTGTGTTCTTGGTGTTTTTTATTTATTTGTTCCACCCAAAGCTTCAAATCATGATAGTTCAAGTCTTAAAACATAAATTAATGACAGGAAATCCATGGAAAAATATATGTAAGCAAGAATTCAAGATTCAAACCGAATCAAAACATGATTTTCACAGCAAATCTTCAAACTTATTTTCTTTTCCAACCTTTTTCTTGTTTGTTCCAAAACATGAATTTAACCTTCCCAAAACTATTGGAAATCATGAGGAAACATGAGGGTTTAGCTTTTTTATGCAATAAACATCAAAATCAAGATCAAAATGGCATGAATTATGGCCACCTAGCTTGTTCTCCAACTTTCTCATCTCTTTTCTATTCTTCTCCTCTTAACTTCATTACTAACCCAAATTAATCCTAACTTCTTCTCAATCTTAGATGGTAGGTAAGATTACTACAAGAATTAGGGCTCAAAACTTACCTTAGGATGATAAAAATGGAATCCTAGATGAATTCTTCGAGCTCTTTTCTTTCTCCTTCATTCTCCTTCTTTCTCCTTTCTTCTAGCTCATTCTTGATCCTACAGATTTTTCTTTCTTGTTTTGGTTTTATTTGAGGCAAGCTAGGACAAAAGGGTGGCAAGCACAAAAGGCTGGGTGGGACAAAAAGAGAGGTGTGTGTTTGCTTCACCAATTTCCTTAATCCCATCATTAGTTTAATTAATCAATCTTTGTTATAATTAATCAAGGTTAAACTTAATCTTGCTTCACTTAATTAATCTTGATTAAGGCTCTTTAATCTTACTTAATTAACACTAATCTTGATTAGCAAAATAACAATTAGCAAATGACAAGCACATCAATTAAGGCATTTAAGCTCCTCAATTAGTGCATAGGCACATCCTAGCAATCACAAATTTTAAACCTAAGGTGTCCCCAAACTCTTAGCAATCTTCAAGTATTTCTCTTTTCAAGTTTGTTTTATCAAGGCATGTCTTTTATTTCTAGGTTTCTTGTCAATTGCATTCATCTTTTAAAATTTTATCTTATCAATTTGTACTTCTATTTTTAGAGTATTGTAAGGTAATTAAATTAAGGTAAGTATTCGGTCATGTCATGTTAAAAGCACTTTTGATGTGACACCCGCTTGCTATGCTCAAAAGGTGGTTAGTTCCTAAGTCTTAACAGTTAATGGTGAGATCTTCATGTTCAAAGTTCCCTAACTACTCATTTCTAAGCTTCACTTTAAGTATGTGTAATGAAATAATTAATTTGACTTAGGGTATTCAAGGATGGATAATAATATTGTTATAGCACGTCACGTTATTTGGGGTGTCACAGAGATATAATTAAATTCCTTAGTTAAGGGAAAATCAAAGATACAAAAAATCATGATAAACACAAATCATGGAATCTCTATATATCTTGATATATTCCATATCTGCTCCTATCTTTATGAGCAAATTTCACTTTACCCCCTTGTGGTTTGGGCTATGAAGAACGGATACTTCAAATAGGAAGACGTATCTGTATCGTATCCGTATCGGATACCGATACTCCTCGGATACTTACGGATACGTATCAGATACTTATTAAAAGTATCGGATACTTTTTAATTAATTTTTCATTAATTTTGAAGTATCGGATACTTAGTTTTGAAGTATCGGATGCTCCAAGTCACATATTATCGGATACTTCTTAATTAATTTTGAAGTATCAAATGCTCCAAGTCACATGTTACTCCTGTTACGAAATTAGAATTGTATCATTTCTTGCATAATATCATAATATAATATAATTGTGAGGATAAATAAAATATTTTTACAATACTTTGCTTAGTTTTTTTTTATAAAAATAACATAGTAGGCTAAAGTAATAGAATTCATCAAATTGACATATCTTCATTGTATCATGCATGTCCTCTATAACTACATAAAGTAAGGATTAATAAGATAATATAACAATAGTGAAATTAAATATCAATAAATAAATAAGCAAATAAACTTGCATAGAATATTTTTGACTAGTGCAAAAGGAAAAAGCATAGGGTCAAGCTGTGGATTGTTTTGATATTATAATATCAACATATTAGACTTGATATTCAAATGAAATATTTGCAAGACCTATTGAAAATTTAAAAACTAAACTAGCTAATGCCTTAAATTAATATCTAATTCTTAAAGATTAGTATTTTGCATCATAAAGTTATTGTAGTTTCTCAACATTCTTGAGCTTATGTGTAACCCACTACTAATAATTTATATATTTTTATTTTTTATTTTTTATAAGCGTATCCTAGCCGTACCCGTATCTTACATTTTTTAAGTATCGCCGTATCCGTATCCGTATCGTATCGTATCGTATCGTATCCGTACCTCGTATCCGTATCCATGCTTTCTAGGGTTTGGGCCATGTGTGGATTTGCCCCCTTGTCATTTGGAAGTAACCCTATAACCACCATGTGGTTTGTGATGATAGGAGGTCTACCACAGACTTTTGTACGTTTGTAGGAGGAAATTTGTTGACTTGGTGGAGTAAGAAACAGTCAGTGGTTGCCAAGTCGAGTGTAGGAGTGGAGTATCAAGTCATGGTGCATGGCATTTGTGAGTTGATGTGGCTCAAAGTTTTATTGGCTGACCTCAGATTGTTGGTGGTCCCATGCGACTGTATTGTGATAATAAGGCCACTATTAACATTGTTCATAATCTGGTTCACCATGATAGGACTAAGTGCATCAAGATTGATTGACATTTTATCAAAGAGAAATTGAATAGTGGCATCATTTGTTTGTCATTTGTCACATCTAAAGATTAGTTAGGTGATGTGTTTACCAAAGGGTTAGGGTGTAAAGTGTTTCATCCTATTGTATGCAAGTTGGATTGGTGGTATGGTGATTCCTCATGTTATTTTTCCCTATTTTTTATTTTCTGTTTTTTCTTCTTTCATTTTCCCTTTCCTTTCCTTATTTTTCTTTTTCTTCTGCCAGTCTCCCAAAGCAAAATATTTGCTTACTAGTTACTAATGTTTGATTAAAAGAATGCAAGGAAACAGTTGTTCTCGTTGCATTAAATGGAAAAATTACAATAACATTTGTTCTTTACTTTTTTTCCCCCACTCTCGTCTTCTTCTTCAATTGTTTTTTTCTTTCCCCTTGCTATTAATCATCTTTACATTGTTGACAGGCTGGAGTACCAAAGATACTTGACGGTGATATGCTTGCTCAGTTCTTGGAGCTTACAAATATGCAACAAGAGGCTGTACTGGCATTACCACTTGGCTCACCAGATAGGGTTATGTTTAATTCAAAGCCCTCTTCACCTGTGCCAATTACTGTTAACCAGGTCGTGCGGCTTCTTGAACGAGTTCATTATGCCCTAAATTGAATCTCCTCTCTGTGGTTTGTTTCCATTCTCTTCCTTCTGATTCTCTATGAATGGTTGGTTTTCATGCACTTCCTCCAAGAGCAAATCAAGTGAAGCATTTAAATACCAAATGGAGAGGAACACACAGAGACATGTATATCTTCACTCGGTTCCTATTTTCCAATGATATGATGAAGTAATGTGCTTATACAAGAAAGATATGCACCTCAAATCAGTTTCTTACACTATGTACGTACAGACAGACAGTTTGTGTGGTTGCATAAGATGATGATGATGACTCCTTCAAAACCTCTCTCAGATCTAACCAGTGATTGGGCGGAGACCATATAAAGATAAGATTGTATTTTGCTGGGATGACAAACTGCTAACTGGAGAAAAGTAAATCAATATATGTATAAATCATGACTTGAGTTGAGTTGCTGCCCTCACCCATATAGTTGATGGATGCTTTTACTTAAAAAAAAGTTGTGGTTGAACGTTGTATTTTGTTCTCTGTGGGGAGTGGGGATTCCGCTTTCAGTTTTTGAAGGAAGGTTGGTTGGTTGGTTGGTTGGAACTTAGTCAAACTGAAACTTTTGGGTCCTCCTCCTCTTCTGGATAGAGGATAGGATAGGACGAGTTAAAAAGTGTGCTAGTTCGTTCTTGGTATATCTATTTACTAGAGATGACCCGTGCCTAAAGGTACTTGCCACATTGACATACTGAAAATATGTATCATGTTGAAATTCTATTGGGTACAATTTTGGGGCAAGAATGTGTTGCAAGAAACTTTGAAAGAATTTTATGTTTTCTAAAGATTTTCGGAGTTTGTAGCATTTCTGGATAAAGAGCTTAAATGTCGTATAGAATTCCTAGTAATGCTACAGACCAAAAACTGTTCACAAATAAATACTAAAAACAAATGTATGATTTACATTAGTATAATTTACTTTCATTTTTAGTGTGGGTTCAACAATACAATTATTAAACCATATATTTCTTCCTCTTTTTTTTTTTTTATTTTTTTTTATTTTTGTTATAGTATTTTTCGACGATTAAATTTTTGGTGGGTAACATTACTGAGAAACTCACATGCAACACCACCTCAAGTAGAGAGCATTCTGAATGCATTACAGCAAAAATTGACACAACCAGCGACCCAAATATAATATGAAACATAATTTTATTTTAAAAATTTTGTTGATGAAACTCAGTACAAATTGTTAGGTGGTGATATTTTTATAAATTTTATATCGCAATGGTAAATGTTTAATTTAACACATTATTACATATAAAAAATTTATAACAAAAATTAAGCACTTCAAAAAGACTCTGATTACAGACATTATTTTTTCCTGGATATATTCTATATCCAACTTACTATAGGCAATGGCATGCACTCCACACTTATTGTGAACCCGCACCTAATAATACAAATTAATAATAAGGGAAATAACTTGTCAGTGGAGTCGGAAAAAAAAATTATCCAAAGATGATAAACATTATAAATGTTAATATTTAAAATCATAAATTTTTTAATTAATGTGATAATTTTTTTAAAGATTATCACTAATTGGTAATTTCTATTTAATAATATGTACCTAACAATACAATTATTACAATTATTAATCTATAATTTTTTTACATGATATTATATTGTTTGATTACATTAATTCTTTAAAAGTTATCATAAAATAAAATAATTAATAATTAGTATTTACATAGGAAACGATATAAAATTGTGACAAAAAAATCAATCATACATACCATTTCTCTTAAAAAAATTTAAAATAAAATTCAAATTCAAATTAGTTCGTGATGGCCTTTATGATCAGCAATACTAGGTATCATGAAAAGTCTTTCATGAAAATGATCATGAAAGATTTGTGACCTTTGGATTATACTTAAGATAAAACACCACATACTAATCAAGGTAATCCAAGGGTCACAAATCTTTTATGATCATTTTTATGAAAAATCTTTCATGATCCCTAACATTTCTCCTTTATCATACACCATTTCTTGAAGCAAGCACCATCATATCATTGTAAGCGTTTTGACATCTCAAAATACCATCTACCTTCCTTTGGCATCCTATATTGCCAACCAGCAATAACTCATATCCATTACTCCACCAAAAACAGAGATGATGGAAGTTGGCCGAGTAGAAAACCATTAGGAAAATAAAGGTAGCAGCTATGACAGGTATTTGGAAATAGTTAAGGCCTTTGTGCTCAACAATGCTGGCGGCAGTGTCGGATGACGCTTTGGAGCTCAAAAAAGTTTCTATTTTCCCACAGCACCACCACACCCACATCTCTAGTCATCCCTTGCAAGTTGTTGAAAAAAGAAATTCAAATAAAAAATTAAAAAAAAAAAAACAACTATACTTTTGAGCAACTCGTGATTGACACACGATGACACAACCATTCTCAACCTACACAAAATCATCACCAGTCACAGGAGATGACCATTTGCTAGATAGAGATGGTTAGTGCCTTGGCAACGGCGTGAGTGCGACTAATACACAGCATAGGGTTTTGATGATGTGCGTGACCTAGACCAACAATGATGGGGTGCAAGGTTTTAGCTGTAGATCATGTTGAGATTGCTATGTTGACCGGTTCACCCAAGTGGGTGGCCGATGAAGCTCTGAAGAAGAAGAAAAAGAATTTTTCCGTGCTAGAGATGATGATGGAAGGGAAAGGAAAGAGAGTGATAGATCTAGGATGGAGAGAGAGAGAGAGAGAGAGAGAGAGAGAGAGAGAGAGAGAGAGAGAGAGAGAGAGAATGCGATAAAAAAGAACAGAAACAAATATTGAAATATAGAAGATTTGTACAAAGTTTTGAAATCCATGCCAGAGAATGGATGTTAGCGGGATAGGCTAAGCAAAATTTCAAAATTTGAGTTCTAACTGTCAAATAATCCTAGTCATACAATTTTGAGTTGAGTTGATCTCAACCTTTGAACCCAGTTATATCTATATGCCAGTTAGGATATTTTCACCCATTAGATAGAACTAATCACAACATTTCATAATGACATGTAAGACATTTTTTTTTCAAAGGGTAAATTGCCCCGGCATCCCCTCTATTCTTCTAATATCACAGTGACACCCCCTTTATTCCTTAAAATATCATTGGCCTTCCTTACTTTACAATTTATGTAACATAAAGACCCGTCTGTTAGTCAACTATGAGTTGACCCAATCAAATTTGCTTATGTCATTTGTTTAACATTTGAAAATGTCAAAATTACTCTTGTTGATCTTCTTCCCAACAAGGCTACACCTATACTATTCCCATTTTATTATTGTCCTCGTTATCAAACACCTACCAATTCTTGCTATTGTTTTCTCAGATGAGAGAGAGAGAGAGAGACACGGTGAAGAACCACCAATTCCACCTCCCTCAACTATTGGCACCATTTTCATTGACATGTGATGATCTTCTATTCCATATTCTCAAGTTGAGACCTGCGACAGTGATGTCTGGACTGTGGCGAACTGCGAGGAGGAGGGGGTTGGGTTATGGCGAGGAAAGGGTTGTCTCCTTTTCTTTTAGAGGCCGCAATTTGTGATAGTGGGGCTATTTGGCGACAAGGCTGTATGAGGAACAATTGGGTTACGAAGCAGCAAAGGGAAGAGGTTGGGCTGCGGGGGCTGGGCTGGTGTTCAAGGTTTTATAATGTTTTTATATATAATTGGGAATGTGTCAATTAATCATTGTGCGGGGGTAATTTCCGCACTACGAAGAAGGGTAGAACTTCGTGGAAGAATAACGTGCTTCGGGAAATAAAGATCTACACAGAAAAACAAATGATGAGGCTGCTTGACTGGGGTTTGGTTGGAAAACCCTCTGATGGTAAAGTTAGGGAGTAGTGGAGAAGAAGAAAAAGAGAGAATAAAAAGAGTTTGTACATGTAGAGTGTGTGGATTTTGGATCCTTTGACGATGAATAGTGCTCACCTTTTATAGGAGAAGGTTGCTTGTCCTTCAAGACCTTCTCTCTCTGCCATCTATCCCATTTCTCTTGCTCATGGTCGTCTCTCATTGGAGGAGGACGACCACTCCGTCTAACACTTAGGTGCAGGTCTGTCGTGTGTGCTCTTTGTCCTTCTACGCCTTCATGTTTCCACGTTCTGTTCATATAGAGGGAGATGACCAGAGTTGTTTGCCTCTTGTGAGCTCAAGAAACCTTCGATGCATTGGCCTTCTCTAAGTAGGTCCACTTCGGAGAGGTTGTCCAACCTGGAGGTACAACTTGTTGCTCAGTACGCTTAGGAGTGAGCCTTGCACGTTGGGTCGAGCTTCCTAGCATCCACTTCGGAGTAGCACTCATGCATTGGGTTGAACTCTAATGACTGTCCTGCTTCGGAGCAGGAGTTGGCCATAGGGCTGGACTCCAACCTAGCCCAACCTCGGAGTGGGCCTAGCATTGGGCCTAGCACCAAGACTTAGTTAATTTTTACCCACTTCATTTGCCCCTGGCTTGCTCTTGCGTTTAATGAAGCGGAAGAAAATTTCGTCACAACTTAATTTGAGCTTCGCGGGTTGGATTCAAAATTATTGTTCGGCCCAGAGTGCCTGTGTTGGGCCTAGCTCGGTTTTTGCTCAGTATTCCGTAGCTCAGTGGTGCCCCCAAACTAAACGTGCATCATTGGCCTCGTAATTGCTTAGCTCGGTGCTCTTTCTTGTTCTGTTAACAACCATGGTGGATCTTCATGCTCGGTCGGCCGAGCGTCGTTGCTTTAATTGAATATATATGTGTGTATATATATACACATATTTTTTTTGTAGTGTTCGTGGATTGGGCCGAACTGCTCAGCAACACTTCAAATCAAGGCAAGCGTGCCTTAGCTCAGCTTTGTTCTAATTTGTTTTGATGATGTTGAAGTAAAATGCTTTGTGGGCGATGCCATGATTGCCATGCATGGTAATGGCACGCATGTATTCTTTGCTGGGTTTGGTGCTTGGTGTTGAATTGCATGGATGTAGGGCTTAGTTTGGAAGACAAATTGTTGTGTTGACTTGTGTGCTTTGGTTCGGTCGGTCGTAAGCTTAGCTTTGCATGGAATAACTTGGTGGGCCCCATTTTTGGCCACCTAGGTCGGCCCACTTTCACCCCAAAGACTTGATTCAAGCACTGGCTCTGTTTGCTCGGTCTCAGTGCTTGTTTGGTTGTGTTGATTGCTGTTGTGAGGCCGAGCAAAGCAACTCTTGTCTTCTTTTATTTTATGCATAGGTCGGTCAGAGTCAGACCCACTGCCTTGCCTCTTTATAATCTGTGTTTCCGCTGTATTGCACAAGGGGACAGTTTGGAGTTGTTGGTGTTCGGCCTTATTTATCCTGTTTGTTCGATTCTGACTGGCAGAATACCTTGCAGGCAGGCAGGCAGGCACACACACATATTCATTCATTCCTTCGATCTATACCTGATTAGTTTAGACGCTACTTTTCGCAGCTTCGCATCCCCTCTGCCAATGGACTGATTCGCACCAAAACTTAGGGTATTTTATTATTCAAAAACGCAAATCACCTTTTCATTCTACAAACACACACGTGACAGGATCCTGTAAGTTTTTGAACTCTCTCCTTTCCTTTTGTTTCCTTTTTCCATATTCGTTGCTGTTGTTGATGATTTTTTTATTGTTCCACCCTTGTTGAGTTGTTCTCCGTTTGTTTCTTTTCCAACAGACTTCTTTTTCCAGTGCTACGCTGTAACGCCCTCAAAACAACAACATTAAACTCAACAGATAAGACATGCATTTACATATAAACTAATCACATTCTTTTATACATTAGAGTTCCATTACATAAGTATTACATGTTAACATCAAAACAAAATGCCCTACGGGCTTACAGCTTTCCAAGTTAACACTTGGTTACAACAAAGAGTACTAACTCGTTTACACATTAAGCCCTTGGCTTGAAGTTACATGTAATACATCAAAAGTTAAGCGACAAAAGTATGTCCGCCTCTAGCCTCCCAG